CTTCTCCCCTCTAACTACTATACATTTTGCTCCCAATATCTCACTGTTACTTCTTCCCTCTAACTACTATACATTTTGCTCCCAATATCTCACTGTTAGTTCTCCCCTCTAACTACTATACATTTTTGCTCCCAATATCTCACTGTTAATTCTCCCCTCTAACTACTATACATTTTTGCTCCCAATATCTCACTGTTACTTCTTCCCTCTAACTACTATACATTTTTGCTCCCAATATCTCACTGTTACTTCTCCCCTCTAACTACTATACATTTTTGCTCCCAATATCTCACTGTTAATTCTCCCCTCTAACTACTAAACATTTCCTTGTAAATTAAAAGTGAGAATATGGTGTTAGATCAAGATAACGAGTTTTACCCGATAAGCTTGAGTTTTCTTATAACTTGTTTGCTGGATAATGTACGAATATTATAAGGAGAAGTTAAATGTTTATCGCCTCTTGGAGTTAAAGGGTTAAAGCCATTCTGAGTGATTTTTAGTCATTAAAAATGTAACAAATAGGAATAAAACAGACTACTGTCGACCGTAAAGTGAGAATACGGTAATATGATAGTATCTATACAAGCTATCTTACCTGGGAACTGTACTAGTATCTTCGTTGAGTTTATCAGGAGATCGAATCAGGACGTCGAGTTTCTTCACAATTTCTGAAAACTTCGGTCGCTTGTTCCGTTCAGCATTCCAGCAGTTCAACATGACCTGATGAATGACCTTTGGGCAGTTCTGAAATGGAAAAGAATAAAATTAAAGTAAAACCAAGCAACACTTCATCTATTTTGTTGATTGAAAAGTATCTGGTGGGAAGACACAACAGTCTCCACGTAACCCCAAAAAACCGTCATTGGGTCATCAGGCACTCCCCACATGCAACTTGAGTTTTTTTTGACTGACTCCTTTTCATCAAATCGGAACATGCATGTAATGTCGCCAAATCATAGTTCTTAAGAGGTGTGTGGAAGCAGGATAATTTACAAGATTGGCCATAGTTCTCAATCTACATCAAATTCAGTGATATTTTAATTCAGAAACGTACCATTGGAGGTGGAAGACGGTAACCTGATTTGACTCGTTCCATGACCTTGGAAAAAAATACAAAAATAATAAATATACAATAACAAGCTAGTAAAGCATGAATAACAATTTATGGTGAGAAAATACAAGGAAAAGCTTCAAGCGCCACATTCAGATTGCATGGTTTCAAGGTTACAAAGCTAGTCTCTTTGGAGGGAAAGCGCAGGACTGAACGGAAAAAGGACTGGTATTTAGTCAAGTCGCCTGGTTGGCTCGAGTCGTGTCGAGTCCCTCGCGTTAAAGAGCACGCAAGGCAAGCGTGGAGCAGGCGAGAAGGAAACCATTAATTGTTCACAGGTATTTACATAAACACAAAGGCTCATAGACTAGCCTGTCACAGGTCACTCAATGGTCGGACTCACCTCATAGTTACCCCAGTCCCAGTAAGGTCTCTCGGCAAATGACATGATTTCCCATAGCAAGACACCATAGCTCCAAACGTCACTGGCTGGAGTGAATTTACGGTACTCAATTGCCTCTAATGCCGTCCATCTGACAGGAATTTTGCCTCCCTGAAAACAGATACCATCTCATGACTTTAGGGAGGAACTTCACATAACCACAAATTCAAAGAAAACGCAAAATGTGACAAGATGAACGGATTGTTTTGAAAACGGTTTATTAATTGACCGTAGAATTATGGATGACTTTTCTCTCTCATCAGTGAATGCAACGAACGTCGTTACTCTGGCAGACTGAAAATTAGACAATCACATCACACAGCACATCATGAGCTCTGATCTTAACCCTTTACACCCTAAGATCAGTAAGCATATTCTCCATACTGTTCTCTGTACATTTCTTAACATTACGGAAAGGAGAAATATTAGTACTCTCGTGGGTGATATGCTAAGGAGAAATTAGATGCTAGTCACTATGCTAAGGTCAATGGGTGAATTTACATGGTACACATACCTTGGTTTCATAAGCTGAGTCTTCCAACTCTCTAGACAAACCAAAATCTGCTACTTTGCAAACCAAACCCTCTGATACCAAAATATTGCGTGCAGCCAAATCCTATAGGAAACACAAACAGATTCAAAATTCGGTTCCTTGGATTTCTAACATCGAGGTCACAACTTCGAATGCTCGTACGTTCCTTAATGATCAATAGAGACTTTTGAACTTGTCTGATTCTTGCAACTGAGCGGAATTAAGGACGAAGGAAGTGGGGGTAATTTAAGACCATCAACACGAAGGAACGAAAGGACGAAGGGACGAAGGGAACGGCGGAGGGGAGGGGGGGGGGGGGGGAAGGGACGAACGAACGAACAGACGAACGGACGAACGGACGATGGGAAGAAGGGGGGACGAGTAATGGAAGAACGCAAACGAACGACGGGATAAAGGGTGTATAAAATCCCTTACCCTATGAACAAAGTTCATTTCGGAGAGATATTTCATTCCTGATGCGACACCTCGCGCCATTCCCAACAACTGCAGCGCTGTAAGTTTTCCGTCCATTTTCTGTGTCGAAATAATATGAGATCAGTGTAAATATGAGAAATATGACTCAAAGTAACGGCACTTACGAGTCAGCTTGGAAAAATTTCAACGGCCAAAATATTCCTCATTGCTGGACAGTTACAACACTAACCTTGAGGTAATTGTCGAGAGAACCATTGGACATAAATTCGATCACGATCATCATGGGTGAGGCTGTTTCAAAAGAAAAATAAATGAAACTGTGTCAATCAGTTAGAACTGAGAGTTAATGTCAAAAGTTACATTTTGGCTATAAACTGATGCTATAAAGCTCGGGAAAAAAGATTGAAAGTTAATTAAACCGAAAATTGGTTAGAAACTGTCACAAAGGATCTGTTTCTTTCAAAACTGGCGCCTCCAAGATTCTAGCAAGGCGCCATTATATCAGCGTTTCTTTGCTTGATTTTTATCGGCAAGTCAAATGAAATTTATTTCATCACTATTTGTTAAAGATATTAAGGTTAAGCTTTTGCTGTTGTTTGGCTTTTGTGTGCATGCACTGGTCCCTTACTTTTAGTAACAACACCCTCGAGAAAGATGACATTCGGGTCACAAAACTGGCCCATAATGGAAGCTTCGCCGATAAAGTCTTGGCGGTTCTTACGAAGAGCACCAGTCTGTGTAAAAATAGACAAGGAAATAACCTCAATTTTAAAATGGCCAGGAAAAATTCAAAGCTATATCTCGTTGTCATCTGTCTTTTCGTTTTTCCGTCATTCGGTTAGTGTAGTTCGTCTTACAGTTGGTCGGTGAGTCAGGCAGTCAGTGGGTCAGTCCTTAAGTCTAAGTCTGAGTGAAAATTACGAGTTACGGTCAGTCACTCAGCCAGGACTTTTTTTTGTCTTCAAGAAATGGAAAGTAAAAAAAAAGGCTGTTTCATAACAAAATAAGAGGCTTTAAATGTTATCGCGAAGTCTAATCGTCTGGGAGAGAATATTCCTGGAATGTTGACGGTGGTAATGACTAAGGCTTTAACAACCTGAGCAGAAGTCATCATCAGATTCAAGAGTCAATTCCATTCATCACTCTTCAATTGACTCTGATGATGACTCCCGCTAAAGATGTCGAAACGTCAGTCACCACTAACGACAACGGTTCATCACAGGAGTATACTCTCCTTGAAACGGACCAGCAGACCCCACAATCAAATGTAACTCCAAGGTTCAAACCATATACTGTATTTAATATCGTTAAGAAAGTTGCGGTTAGTCATCACGGTGATTCAACTTTTAGTGAAGTGTTACCGTTTATATCATGATGTATCTGCGGTCGACACCAGAAGTGACCATATCGCAAGACAAACGTTTATCTTTCGTTAAAAGCTCTAACTGTCTTTGTTCGCTTAAGATGCAAGACACATAAACTATCACATGACATACCCACTAAATTAGGAATAAAACAACAGTGTACTTACCTTTAACGTCTTGACAGCAACAAGGATGGTATCTTCTCCTGGTCTCGACAAAGTTCCTTTGTATACATCGCCAAATTCACCTGAAAATAAGTTCAATCAATAACCGTTATTGCAAAATATCAATTATTAAAATCAAGGCTGTGACGCTACGCTTTGAGTGACTTTCAATGGAGGAAAAAAACGAATCAAGACGCGAAATTGAGTCAAATGAAACTACAAAAAGACCATCCGCTATTTCGCCGATGGCTCTCAAATTCAACAATCTTAACAGCCAAGTGATTCCACGCGCAAGAAAGCTGGTTTTACGTTTGCTAAAACCTAAAATCGACGACGTCGACCTCTTCACTCATACATTAATTTACTTCCCTTTTAAATTGTGCTCAAACGAAAGCAATACACTCGCTTAATCGACAGCATAAAAAAAAGAATTTCATTTCAAACTGTTCACGTAAATAAGTTTAAACTTGTATGATAGACAAATTTTCGATCGAAAGGAATCCAAAAATTGGTTTTGCTTCACTTCGCTCTGTGGTTGGTCCAAAAAATGCACGCCACTCTCGATCAATCGAATGCCAAACTAAAATCAATCACGACTTGGTCGCCCACGTTTTCCCGCGCTTTAGGCAATCTGGATGCTTTCATTTAGAGTTCTCATTGGCCATTAGAAATATTTTCCTTTCTTCTGATCAGTCGTTTTATTAATAACGTAGGTTTTGGTTTCATGACACTCAATCGGAAAGCGCTCTGTCGCTTAGCACCATGTACCTCCACCGATAATATGTTCCAAAGTGATCCATTTCTTGTCCAGTTCCTTGGCAAACGTTCTCAAAGCCTCCTCAGGGTCTTCGTAATTACTTGGATCAATATAAAGTCTCTGGCCTCTCGTTGGTAAAATCACTGCAAAACAAAACCAGATTCAGGAACAACCCCCTTGGCTAAAAGACATCTTGTCAATGCCTGTGTGAAGTTAAGCTTTACAGGTAAGAGGAAGATAAAGGAAGTAAATTTTTTTGTACAGTACCTTGCCCATCTCTCAACTCAACTGGTTTTAAGTAGCCTTTTTTATCTCTTCCCCTGTGAACACAAATGAACAGTGCAATTAAACATGTACACACTCTAGTGAAGACAAAAACTGACCCAAAAAAAAAACAGTGTGCAGCACCAAAGTGAACAAAAGTCCTTTCCCTGTAATTTGATCAACGCCAACTTCAATATTGAGAAAATTCAATTGAGTGGCAAAAGTAAGCCAGAACTGGATTGATTTTGCTTTACCTCGCTCAGTGATTGGTTGAGAAAATTCACCTCAGTCTCTCAACCAATCAGACGCAAAACTAAAACCATTGTTACCAATTCACTCGCATATGCAACTTTTGGTTATAGTTACTACTAAGACCCAAACTTTGTTTAGGAGGACAACTTGCAAAATATCATAATCGTATTACAAGGTGTGTTTTTATATTATTTTGACTCACCTACAGAAACAGACAACACAAAGAACAGCTAAAAAGACCAAGACAGCCACTATAGGAACTGCTATGTATAACACCATCTTGAGCACTGTCTTTGAGGAACCTGGCAGGGCAGAAAATATCCAGGATAAGCCATTAATTCAAGGAAAGAGAATCTTACATGTTCTGATGTTGATACTGTACATTTTGTATGTAGTCTTAAGTATGTCTATAATAATATCATACCATCCTGAGTTGCAGAGATAATTTTGTGAAATTAAAATTCTAATTCAGTTATTCTTAGTACCTGTTTCCCCTTCAGTTGGATGAGTTGTTGACACTAATAAAGAAAAGAAAGAGAAAAAGGGTAATTATTGAAATGAGGAAAAAAATCACCTATTTCAGTCAGTGACTTTGTTGCCTTTTTTTCCTCAATAAGCTACTGATTAATACACAAACATAAAAATTAAAAAGAATAAAGATAGCCCAAGGCTAAGTATATGTGTACTTGTCCTGGCACCTAGACTATCTAACTAGTTTCCATTAGACTCACACTGGTCTATGCAAATTTTCAATTTCTAAGGAACTTGTATACAAGTAGCTAGGTCTGCAAAGCTGATCCTGCTCAATTGCTGTAAAATGATGTTTCCTCATGGGATTGTAACACCATAAATTGAGCAACTTGGTTTGAAAGTTTTCATTCTGTTGGGTTTTGTTTGTCTCAAATTTTTTTTTTACCTCTGTCTTAGCATCACATCATCACATCATGCACATCTCACATCATGCACATCACACATCATGCACATCACATCATGCACATCTCACAGCCAAGAATTCTCTTATTTATTTCTAACAGCTCATAAAAATTCCTAAACTCTCTGTGCATCTTAGAGTTTTATAAAGTAACTGACTCCAATGGCATTACAATGCTATGCTCTTTGGCAACCAGCTTTGCAAGCTACCTGTAAAACATAGATTTCGGGCCTTTCTGCGCTAGCAGATCAAACTAGAATTGGCCTGACAAAATCAAAGGACAAATTTTGTCATGACAAACTTTTGTTTCCTCCCTTCCATTTGCATTAAAAATTTCAAAGCCATCAAATTCTGTCAGCGCCTGATCTGTTCGTAAGACCAGCCAATGAAGTTTGGCAAAGGATTCCACATCCAATTTCCAGGATTAATCCTAAGTCATTTCAAAATTTTAGAATCCCAAGTTTTGCAACAAAAGACAATTTGTGCCTTTCTGGTAAACTGATTTCAGTTCAATTGAACATTTGTCGTAGCTTTTATGACAATGATCAACAAGTTTGACACGCTTTTGTTTATTTAGTTGATTTTATCCAGTTTTTACCCGAGACAAATTTCATGGATGGTTTGAAGATTCATCTGCTTTGGCCAAATTTGTCAAGTTGCAACAAACCATCTGCACTTGTAAAATGTTAGTGATGAAACAAGATTTGCCTGAATAAACAACTTTTTGCCAGTGCAGAAAGGCCCTAAGTAAAACAGTTTACATGAATATGAATAAACACAAGTAAGAATAATAAACTTGAGTTTCATACCTTTTGTCTTGACAAAAACTTTAGCAAAGTTCCAATCATCTCTGTTTTGTTGCCGTTGATTCAACTCATTCACTGAGTAAACTCGAAACAGAAAGTAACTGGATGGTGGTAAACCGTTTATGGTCACCTCAACACCACTGATATTTTCCTTACTTGGTGAATATTCTATGCCTGAATTACACGGCTCTCTGCAGTTCTTGTCTTCTTTTGACTTACATTTAAAGCAGTCTACAGCATATGTTAATGGGTCATTCTCAAAATCATCCGGTGAACGTTGCCAACTGATCTGAACAACTGTTGCCTTGACCACAGTAGCATTAGCTGTGAGTGGAGCTTTTGGCAACTCTAAAAGCAAACAGAATATGTTTAATTGCAAACATGTACATATCCATGTCCAAAACAATTGTACACCTCAATTCTACACTAAAACTACACTGTGTATTTCTTTTGAATATGATAAAGGAAATGGTAGCCCAAAGACTGAATGAGCTTCTACCAGATTCATTTGCAGCATTTTCTGACAAGAGGGGTCTTCAGCTCCTTTAGTACCTTGCCAGCATTTCAGGGCATTGTACATTGTAGGTCATCTCATCAGTACTTTATGACTTATAAATTTTAAGTTTTGACATGTTTTTCCCTGCATTCTGTGCCTCCTCCCCCCTCCCTTCCCCAACCAACACCAGTGTTAGCCATCACAAGCCTTATTGTCTAGATTGTTCTAATCAACCTAACATAATTGATAATTTTAGCATGAAATAGTTTGACATTGGAGGGCCTTTAATTCCTTAATGAGCAATTTCAAATTCAATTGGACAACTTTGAAATGATCCCGTGTAAACATTAGGACTTTTATAAATCTGTAATGATTACTAACATATTAACACTTAATATACCTTTACAATCTGCCTCATCAGATGACCTGTAGGACCTGTAGTAACCTTTATCACATGTGCAACCAGTTCTACCTGTATTAGATGCTGAATTTGCAGGACAAGGGAGACATTTTGAAATCCTATCAGCATTCCTGTAGAAGCCAATCTGACACTCTAAAATGAAACAATGTGCAATTTCATCAGCAAGCCTTTCCTTCACAACACATTAACAATATAACAATGACCCTGTAACATACTTGTCCAAGTGAGACAGCCTGTCTGATGCAAATGGTGCAAGGACAGAAACAAATATACAGTATAATTTGATAATCTTGGCAAAAGCCATCAATGGAATCTTGGTCACCAAGATGAGTTCACACCTCACAACTTTTTTATTTGTTCCTCTTTTTCCATTGTCACTGACAACAGCCCTAATTGGAGGATCTCCTTTGCTTAGAAAGTCGCCCTTAAACATGAAGTCTGTTACTGTACAACAGTGTATGTCTACAGATGGAATTTAAATGGATATGTGTAGCATGGACAAACAGTCCATGTTCATGTCAACTGAAGAAGCATCAAACCTTTCTTAAGCTTTCTATTGATATTTCAACAGTCTATTGATAACAAGTTAGGGTAAATGTTGGGTTAGGGGACTGGGGTAGGTGGGCAGTTGCCCAGATACTGATATCGATCCTAAATGATCAACAAACAAATTTTATCTAAACATTAAATACACACACCCATTTCAATGCTGAAATACTCTACAAGGGCAAGCCACAGTTTTAAGAGCAGCACAAACCTTTGCATGCCAAAGAGTCTGAAGATCCATTGATGAGTTCATAACCATTGTTGCAAAAGCAGGCAGAGTTACCTGTAATGTTCCATTCTCCAATACTAAGACACACACCAAACAACTTTCCATTGCTACTTTTATGCGAGTTAGGGTCTGTACATTCTCCTTCCTGTTTGGTGAAATTGATATCATTTGCTGGGGCAACTGTTCTTGGAAATTTAACCAAAGTAGCACCACTTTCAGAGCAGTAACGATATCTTACAACAAACTTCTTTATTGTCAAGCAGGCTCCTTGGTCTAGTAACGCCAGATAAATTCCCTTTTCTTTAGTTACCACTGACCCATAAAATGTTTCTGTTGTTTCCTCTCTAGGCCCACGAGGATTCTTTGCAGTTATTACAGTTTCTTTGTGAAAATTTATTATTTTTGGGTTGGGAGGAGCAGCTAATTTGTTATCGGTATGATAAGAATAAAGGGAGAAGTTTGTTCTGCAGAATGGCCCCACGTCAACTAAGGAGCAGTTAAGAAGGCCAAAAGTTATTTCAATATCAAGTCGTTTAGCATTCTTGATGTCAATAAATTCTGTTAGCAACCAACTCTTTGGTTCCTCCTTTGTGTTACTGACATCACAGACTGTGTAAGCCAGTGATTGAGTTGAAGGATGGTTCCACTGCAAGAGAAGCAAAACTTCAGTTACTGTAAACATTCACTCTACAATTGCTAGCATGGGTGTACAGTATGCACAACACAGGTACACTGTACTGAAACCTGCTCGGTTACATATACAACACAAGTAAAGAACATTTATCAGATGGGTTACTACGATCTTTAAGAAAAGCTATCCCTGTGAACTCAACATGAATCAAGAACTAAACATATCTAACTACTGCATTTCTTAAACCAACTCTAAGAGACATAGTTGAACCATCTGCCAGTGACCTCTTTCATATACTAAATCATTTCTTAAATGTACTCCCCTTTACCATGATGTCTGTGACACTGGAGTGAGGAATCCATGTTATATACTATGTAGTTATCTAACAATGACCAAATTAATGTTGAATGGTACATATACTAATGGTTTTTACAACATGAGCTTTTAAAATAAAGTAACTCACCCCTGCACCTCCTTTACCTTCTTTAAAGATAGTCCAATACCAAAGGTCTGATTTAGTTGGTTCCTTGAGAAGAATTTCTAAAGTATAGAGGAATGTTGTAAACTCTTACAGAATGAACTAAAACACAAGTAAATACAAAGTTTGCAAATGGACAAGCTGGCTTGAATAGCGATTAGAGTATCTCCTTGTTCCTCATGATTCTGAAGCAGTCATAAGAAAATGCAGAGGAGTGTGATATTTACTCTCACAGAATGAACTACCAAAACAAGTATTGTACAGTCGCACCTTGATTATCGGGACTCTTGGCTTAATAGTCTGGATAATTAATCAGGAGTCCAAATAATCGAAAATAGGAATATAAATATTCATAGCTGATGGAACCAGAGAAGCAAGTTCACATAATCAAAAAATCCTAATAATTGAGGTTTTATTGTAGATGCTAAGTCTGCTCATGGAAGGTCTCCTTGCTTCTCTAGCAGGAAGTAACTATGAGTCTTTGTACTTCTCCCAGAGACAATGCTAATCCATTGTGGGTTACCCCTCTCTTACCCTCTCTCCAAACATTTGCTCAGGTAAGAACATGTATACTTTAGTACAGGTAAGATGTTAAATTTTGAGCTACACTCTCCAGGGAATAAAGAGAGATATAATTTGTCATGTCATAGATGTAGGAGCAAAAAAAATTAACCTATTGTAAATTTACTACCTTTCTTGTTTTGTTTACTCGTAAAATACTTTCAACATTGCTGGTTCTGACAAGAGACCTGTCACATGTTAACCAAATATTTCTCTAGCTAACCATAAATTTCTCTTTAGCTCAGTGGTAGAGCATCAGAGTACCAAACCTGAGGGTTTGAAGTTCAAGTCATCATGGGAAATCAGAGTTTGTTCTTTTAACTCTTTTATGACAAGGTAACTGAAAGTGCACCTAGGAGCCCATTCCTCTGTAAACTCAATATCCTTAGCAGAAAGAAACACTACATAGCCAATCAAATACTCACGCATTATCAAACTCAATGATGCACATTAATCATTTGCTTGACTTGGATTGGGTTCCACAATCAGACATGACTGCTGAACATGGTTGCTGGAGTTTGAAAATCCAAATCACCAACATGTTCCTGTTTGATTATTTTAATTTCTGAACCAATTTCGAAAACAATCAAAGAAGGAAAATTCCCTTGAATTCAACTGATTTTACATTCTGATTTGTTCAACCGGCAAACCTTTAACCATGGTCCTCTGATCCAAAGTACTGGGTGCAAATAAACCACAAGGTCACAGTGTACTACGTTACATGTATTTTGTGTCTCATCTGCTTTTGCTTCGATGAAAATTTATCTCAATAAATTACAATTCAACTGTTCTTTGGCTTAGTTTTATTGGGAAGATAAATTGTCAAATGGGTTGGGAGAAAACACAGTAGAAAGATATATATTTGTGTATAGAGCACTTTCCAAAAGCATTTACCACTATTTCCCACAATTATATATTATATATATATATAATATATATATATTCACCTATTTCAAAAAATGTTGAATATACATATATATATATATATATATATATATATATATGTATGTATGTATGTATGTATGTATGTATGTATGTATGTATGTATGTATTTATATTGATATATAGAAAGATAGATTGATTGATTGATTAATAAATATTGGTGGCCGTACAATAGGGTTCCCAACTCTATTTTTTCCTTCTGTGCATATTTTAACACAAGTCCATCTGCAAGAGCAAATTAATTTTCGTCTAATTTTTTACTTTTCATTTCCTTTGCATCATAACAAATAACTCGTTTACCATGTATTTGTTAAATCCTGGTGATCAGATGCAGAAGCTTTCGCCGATTATGAAAAGTTTCGAAAGATCAGAGCGGATTACAACCTCAATAGGGCTTTATTTATCAACTTCTACCAAAACGATCACTAGACCAAAATAAGGAAATAATTATCGTCACAAAAACAATCAAATTCAAAGCTATACAGTTGATCTTCAAAATTATTCGCAAAACTCGCAGCTGGAATCTTATTTGAATTTAAACCATTCGAAAGTTGAAAGGTTCGACACTACACGAGTGATAACGCAAAGCGAAAATCACAAAAAATTAACATTCACAGCCTTTGCTAAATCACATTGTTTCAATGCATATGTATAATCCCACATACGTATTTCAAACACATTGAACAACACTACACCTGGCAACACTTTTAACAATCGATTATCTTATCGAGAGAGTTTATATCGATCTTTCGGGACTAAAAAGTAAAATATCTTCCAATCGTCTAAAACCACTGATGGAGAGGGATGTGACTTCTTACCTGCTTCTCCAGAAACTCCACGTAAAATAGCGACTAGCCACAGAACTAACATTGAATGATTGGACTTCATGATTTAGAGATTTAACCGATGACTGGTCTTAAAGGACATAAATATAGCTATCCGTCGCACTTCCTTCGCGAGTTCAATTGCTCGTCAACGTCAAAAGATGACAACTGCGCAAGACCGGAAGACGAGTATGCTCAAAACGGGTCAGACCTTTGCGACCTCGCCCAGTTATTTTGAATGAGGAATGTATTTCAATCACGTAGGGCACTGAACCAAATCTAATATTAAGAATTTTAAAGAGACCTACGTAGTCATTTTTGCAAATATTCCGCTATCCTTCGGGTAAGCAATCACGCGCGGAAGTGACATGATTTCTGGGAGTATCTCTTAGAGTTTGCACGTACAGGCAAGAATTAATTAAGTATGGCGCGACGGAAGGAAATTGTATCGATTTCATTTTCGATCAGTTGTATGTTTTCTTAGTTCATTGCTAAAATTAAGTCCATCTTCTCGCGGTAACCTGACTCTGCGATTTTCTTGTAGGCAGATTATCTCGAACTGAAACCACGAAACTGGGTGGGGCTAAAGCGTCAAGGGAGGGGAGGGATGGATTAAAAGCCCGCAGTCTACCTTTTTTGGTGTGTGTGTTTGTAACGCTTCAAAACTGTCAACGATATTTGGAGGTTCAGTGATATCTTCATGAGGCCTTGGCAAATACTGGCAAAAACTTTAAGCAACACAAAAACAGGCCTTTGAAAGAAAACTCAGCACTTTACTTAACGAGATCTCGAACAAAGAAAATTCCAATATTAACATATCACAAATCATTTGAAAAAAAATGATGATAATAACGAGAAATAGACAATAGTATGTACGAGGAAGCAGGAAATATATTATCCTTAAATAGCACTTAAGTAACAATTCTGAAAATGTAAGTAATAATCCTTATGTATGCATGACTGACACTGAAGGTAATTGTCACGGTAGCTTATAAATAGTAATTCGGTTCTTATTCTTGTGGTCCCTGTACTTTTTTTTAAATCATAATTTAGTTCGAATGTCACACTCTTTGTCTGGCCCTCCTAGGTTAGCTTGCCTACTTGCGGATTAGTTCAAAGTGACAATGTCAGGAGCCCATCAGTGGTGGGCTCCTGACAATGTGTAATGTTCGAAACAATGATGATAATAATATTTTTTTTCGGTTTTATAAATGAGCAAGGAAGACTTTTATCTCGCAATTGGCGTCCTTCCCTTCGCTCGCTTCATCAAGATGTTCATGGCAACTTCCTCCAATGCTCTTCCATTTCCTGTGCGCAATCGAAAATGAGCAGTGCCGATCAGTGTTACCCAGTTCCTCTCGCCACAAAGCAGGAAACACATTCATCCTTCCTTTGGTCCTTGCGAAAATGTAATTCTTTTCTGCTTATGACTTGAAAACTTTATTGTAATCATAACTGCAACCTTTCTGATAAACTCTCCATCAATTGATGCTCATTTGCAGGGAGAGAAAAGAAAAAGAAATTCCGTCTTCCTAAGGCTTGTTCTTGGTTTCTAGACTTCTCTTAAAATAATATTAGCCGACATCACTTCCTGATAAAAAGAAGTTTCTCTACAATCAATTAATTCTTTTTTTCGGAAAATTCCGAGCAGAACGTGAAAGAACGAATAAGCTTTGGTTAAGGAATTCTTCTACAAAATAACTGGATAAGTATATAACTGAAATAAAAGGACTCAGAATAAACCGAATCCAGTCCCATGATCGAGAGCCTTCGGAGGCCATTATCAAGATCGATCAAGCCCATGGAAGGTTTTGCCTGGTACTTATCACAATTTTGGATTCTATAAAACAACATCTTAATCTGTGGCAGTCTTGAAGTTGCAGATGTGTCAACTTGCGGCCTTCTCATCTCGTATGATCTCATACAATAAGGCGGGAAGGAATCTTACCAGATACGGAATTGGTTTAGAGAATTAATACTTACCAGATACGGAATTGGGCCCCAGGATCCCATCTAATCCTCCTCCAAGCGTCATGTGACCCGCTGGCGCGTAAATTCGCATGAAGAAGAGGCTCTGCGTTCGACCATGATCGTTTTCCTATACGCCAGATACAAATCGAGAAGTTTGGGATGGCAAGATCTGCCACTTAATTCCATTTATTTCTTTGAAAAAAGTACTTCATTGTGACTTAATTACTAGCAACTCAAAGATGCCCTTGGTTGACAGCTCAGAGGATGGGGAACGTTACTCCTTTCGCTTGCGTCGAATTGGGATTCCTGCGACTTATCCGGGAATCGGGAACACGTTCAAGTGAGTTGGAACAGCTGAGCTGAGCTGCTCTAATACGGTGCACGTACTTCGAAAGCATACGAGAACCGTAGGTTCTTTGAATAGAAACAGATCTAAGTTATGGGTTCGTGATAGAAGATCAGTTGTTTTTATGCGAAGCCATGTAAAAGACTTGTGTATGCGAGTTATTCAACATATTTTTACTCTAATGACGACTTCCACTCTGGTTGTCGAAATGTCAGTCAATACTCAGGTCAGTACCTCGTCAGTATTAGCGACAGCAGTCCTTTCCAGGAATGCTTTTACACAGAAGATCAGATTGTAAGATCAGTAGAAATACATCTGTAAATATTGTTGAAATATTAAAACTCTCGCTTGCTAGATGCTTGAACCTTTAGGTCGAGTGGGATATGTTATATTTCGAATCACAGAGATATTTCCTATAAAACCGTGTTAAAGGTTTAAAAGTGTCTAAGTGGTTAAAAACATGTAACTCATAGGGCCCACATGGTCCCCCTGTAATAGTGGTTTCAAAATAGGGCAAAATGTTGATAACCACTGTTTAGTTGAAGTGGTAGTGGGGTTGGTGGTAAAAAGAGATGGGAAGGGCTGTATCTTTTGACCTGTTGATATAGTATGACAGGTATATGTGCACATCTTTCCTTGCCTGCCATACTTGCTATACATTTCACATGGCAGAATTGCCTTTGCATGCATGAGATCTCATTGAGTTCAGTGCAGTCTGGTGAGGTCTTTTGAGATGTTTTGATTCAGTCTGATCTTTTTGCAAGGGATTGCACTTGAAATGAGATATTTTCTCCAAATTTAAGATTTATTAAGGCTTGCATATTTTCTTCTACAAAAGATCTTTCATTAAAACTTCAACAATAACAGTTTTTACTCTTGTTTTCAGAATTAACAAAGAGATAACTGTAGTTGGAAGAAACCCTTCGTCTGATATTTTCCTGGATTCCAAAAAGAATAAAGTTATGATATCTAGACTTCATGCACAGATTATTACAGAGGAGGACAGCTCAGGAAAGCAGACCTTCTCAATCTCTGACACAAGTCTCAATGGCACATATGTGAATGACATTAAAGTTGCTGATACTTGTAATCTCAGCCCAGGGGATACTGTTACATTTGGACATATAAGGGGAGCTGTTTTGACCCCTGGGGAGCTTGCTCAACAACCAGAATCTGAGTTCTGTTTTAAGGTGAGTTGTTGTGATTGGGTGCTATGACTACAGAGTTTACACAATACAGTAAATGGTTTGAACCCGGGGGTAACATATAATAGTGTAGTTTGATCGTCCGGGTGAGTGTAGTCCTGAGAAGGACTGTTGTCGGTAATGGTGACTGACGTTTCGACAACCTGAGCGGAAGTTATCATCAGAGTCAAGTGAAAGGTTGTTGTCAGTCGAATGTACTTAGTTCGGTTTGTGTAAGCAGTTTACACAGTTTTGGGGCATGAAGGAAGTTGAACCATTGAAATCCCTTCCCCTCTCCAACAATTTCTCTGTAGATCTTATCTGTAATTCTCCTTACTGTCTGCAATATAATTCTTATAATGATGACTTAAATGGAGATGGTAAAAGTTAAGCCTGGTGATTCAAGCAAAAGATGATGTTTTCAGTGAACGATGCAGAGATACTCTGATAATTTAAAAACTCTAAGCAATCAGAGATCTTTGTCTCCAAGCATGCCCATGCATATTCTGAGAATTTGGTATGGGTCAACTAACAATCTGCTAATTAATATTTTTCTTTATTTTCATTGCTTGTTTGCTTGATAGGAGAAATTTAGTGTTAGTCACTTAAAATTGGCAGGTATCAAGTTCCTAGAATTTCCTGACATGTTGTCCAGAATCATTTACATGTTTAACATATATTTGAAGTGAAACAAGATTTTGTGAGAATACCCGTCCAATAGCAGTAAACAAAAACAAACAAACAAACAAATAATGAAAACCAATAAGAACAACAAAGAAAACCACACACATTGGCAATGGCCTAAGCTTGTACCCTGACCTTGGTCTCTTAAATGCTAACAATCTCCCACATTATTACAGTTGTAACCAAGGTTTGATATTATCGTTCATCAATGTTACAAAAACTGTATCCCTGAATGGGGTACATTTACTTCACCATAAGAACCTGCCCTCAGCATTCATGTGTTTTTTGGCAATTCACTTGCACCAATTTACATTATTTAGTGGTGAAAGAGGCATTGTTTGTCAGAGGAAATGACGAAGGACTAATGCTTGGAACATCAGCTTTGGAACTCTATAGGGTGGTAAATCTATGTTATCAACTCAGGTGATAATGCTAAATTACCCTTCATGTATAATAATATTCCTAGCCAAGGGTCAATCATGGACAGACCTTGTTGAACAGATGTACCTGGTGCAGGTACATATACATGTATTTGTGATGGATTTCACTGAGATGCAAAATTATGATAATTTCTCTCCTTGTTAAGGTTTTAATTTTGTTTTGTTAAATTTAGTTTGAAAAGTATCCAGCCACACCTCCTAACGAGAAGCAGAGGTCTTCAGAAGACACAAATTATTCTCCTGAATTTCAAAGACAGGTGCAGTGTACTTGCTGTCTTCCTTGTATTTTTTCCTTAATTTTTTGATTCCATAATTCTGTAAGGAAACAACCTCTTTATATTTTATCCATTTCGTTCTCTTTTCTTTTATCTATAAGAAACAATAATCCAATTTATAAATTGCTTTTAATTTCTTACTCTTTTTTTTTTCTTTTATTACTATAATTGTTATTTTTTAAAACATCAGCAAACACCAAGCCCTCAAAAACAGCCAAAGCCTGCATCAATCAAGACTCCACTGTTTCCTGTGGCTCACATTCCTGATCTTTCAGCTTTTCATACTCCAGGAACACCTGGATATTTGGCTTCCTCATGGTCTACAGATAATTGCAGGTAAGTGCATATTAACTTCAATATTTATGTTAATTAAGGTGTTGATTTTACACTTGGCATGCAACCTGAGGCATTGTTATAACAGATCTCTTTACATGCCATTGTATACAAGAAGGTGATTAGATTCTCTTAACACTTTAACTCCCATGAGTGACCAAGAGAGAATTTCTCCTTACAATAGCAATACAATATCAACCAGATAAGTGTTGAGAGTAAAGAAAAATATCAATTTGGGGATAATTAGTTGATCCAATGCTGAATTCTCTGAACTAACATGACAAGAATTGTATGGTTGACAGTAAGGATAATTACAAATTTGATCTGGGACTTAAAGGGTTAAATATTAATAAGGATGAGAGTGACTCTCAGGTAAATTGTTGTAATTTTTAATTCTGCCTTCTTTTTGTCATACAACCAATAATGAATTAGTTGGGAGAAATAGTTTTGTATCAAAATAATACCCTCAAGCTGATGTATTGGCCTATATCCATCAGCTTGACACCCACTAAGTACCCAAATACTGGACATTTTCATGTACGTGGTCATTTTGACTTCTGGCATATTACAAAGACCTACTCAATTTTGATTTTAATAATCACAGATTACACAGTCCCATTCGTGGTAGCTCAAAGTGGCAACATAATCATGCTAGCCAAAATTTGGATTCTGATCAAAGTAATGATGAACTCAGAGCATATGCAGCTGCTGCAGCAGATGCTATGGCCGATAGCGAGGAGGACATTTTTTCAATTCGGCTGCCAGAGTCTCCTGAATCATATGAAAAACCTGGCACATTCTCTTTCTGTGCAAATAAGCAGACATTTATGAACAGCCATACTTCCAAGACAATACACCAACCTTCCCAAAGAAACATCAGAGAAGGAACAAAAAGATCTATTGGTAAAGGAAAGAGTCCTCTAAAAGGTAATTGTACTTATATTCTTTAGTTGAGAAAAATTATTTAGAGGTGATCAGTAACTTTGCAGCATAACTTAAATAAAAAATCCAAGGCATGATTTTAGTCACACTAGTCAACCTTAGTTGAATGATTGATCTTAAACCACAAGTCATCTCCAGCTACAAATAGCATGATGGCATCCTAATTAATAATCAAAATGCAATACAATCATGTGAATTGCATGAATCCTGTCAGCAACACTTATAAAGTTATCCTTTTCACCTAGTATACCTATCACTGATAGAAAACTTCAAGTAATTTTCTTTTCTTCTTGGTGTTAGAATACAAAACAGGCAACTTAATAGACTGACAAGTACATGTACATGCACTTATAACAAGGAGTCAAAATTTGATGTGTCTCCTTATCTTGGTGATTTAACAAAAAAAGTTCACACTGTTATAGAGCAAGATAATGAATTCAATACACGTGTGTGTGTTATTTGCACTTGCATGTATGTTCTAGTAAGTTTTCAGCTTGTATTCAAAATTTGTTGTACCCTGTATTTTAGTGGCCAGTAAAAGACCAAGAAAGCATACCAGGACCTACAAGAAAAATTCACACAAATCTACCACAAGCAGTGACAGTGATAAAGATGAAGACAATCTCTTGTACAATTCTTGTTCATCTGTGGACTGTATTCATCCTCACAATAGAGACAAACTTGTTGACTGGGTACAATGTGATGACTGTGACGACTGGTACCATGTGAAGTGCACAGGGCTAACCCTTGAGTCTGTGTGTCCAAAGTCAGCTAAGTTCCATTGTGGCTGTGTATGAATCCTTAGAGTGGCTTTCTAACCATTTAACTCCTAAGATTTAAGTAGTGATTTTCCATGTTATCGGTCATTTATCACATACAATTTTAGATCTAAGACTTGATGGTCAATCAAGCAATACCCCCCTATCTGATATAATATTTCACTTCTCATCACCTTTTTGCTTGAAAATGTATGGATGTTGTGAGGAGAAGTTCATGCCTGGTCACTCTTGGGAACAAAAAGGTTAAGATAAGGGGCTTAGGGCTTGTATGAGAAGTGCTTTTCATGTAAAGTTGACCCCTTAGACCAATCACATACCCATCATGGTCTGAACTCACTGAACATTGTTGCAGGGACAAGTTTCAGTGATAAAACTTCTCTATTTACATACATGTTGGCATCAATGCTACATGCACTTGACTGAACTAATTTTGTTGCAGCAATCATATTTACAAATTAAAACCAGTTTGAATTTGTTTGAAGCAGCTGTACCTTTTAGGCACTGGCTTGTTTGTTGTTTTATATGTCTAGCCACCAAAAGATCTCCGGGAAACACTGACATAATCTAAATGTGTGGTTTTAGCCTTCAAGGGGAATTTTAAGGCTTTCCTCATTCTGAATCATGGTGGCAAGAGTTTCAGGGCTTTTTTTAAAATCTTATTTCTGTTAAAATGAAGTTGAAAGTTTCAAACTAATTAGTGATGCCTAGCCCAGAGTTTCCATTCAGGATTTTATTTAAAGAGGACATATGGTGTAGTGCCTTGCATTGCATTGTTACCTCATTTATTAACTAGTCTTCAGTGGTTGTTATTCTAGATAGCAAATTTTAGGCCATGTATCCGAGTAGTTTATCCACTTTAGTGTGAGTGAGACAGACCTCATGATTGCACATCATGAACTTGGAAGTTCAACTAGGCCTTTAAATGTTTTCCCCAGACATTGTCCATTAATCAGCAAATTTGAAGTTTAACAAATTTTAAGTGAATATATAGGACTAAGTTTCCTATGTAATGAATAATTTCAAAATCACCTGTCAATGTGTGTTGTTGTTTCAAAGTTTGTTTTGCTGTTCCTTGTCAATTAAGTGACAGCATTGAAAATTATCTATAAAAATTCCATATAAACACAAAGGGTCCCATTTAGGATTCTAATAGTGGACCTGTGCATTGGGTTGCATAACTTGTTTTATTTTTTAATCAACTAGTTTCCTTTTGTTCTTAAACTAGGTTTTATGAATTTAGACTGGTCTGTACATGTAAGGGGTGAATCCAATTTTGTTGTAGATAAAACTGGTTTCATGTGGGCATGTCATGAACTCAGGGATTCAGCTCTGCCTTCATAAATTTGTCCTTGACAATATATATTTATTGGCAAATATGAAAAAAAAAATTAAAAATGAAAAGAATTACACAAAGTTCTATGAATTTTAAGTGCCAAGTAGGCCTTATGAAGGTTGTTACTTATCAATTTATTTCAAAATCACCTGCTGAGGTAAATTAAAAGTTGTTTTTGAAAGTTCGTCTCACTGTTGCTTTTCCCTAAAGGGAAACTGCTGAATATTATAATTTTGATTAGAAATATGACTATATAATTTTGATAATATAATTTTGAAAAAATATTATTTGATAAAGTATTGTAAATTTCATAATTCAGTTTTTCCATCATATTGACCAGATTGTTACATTGTGCATTGTTGTGAAACTCTAAAAATAAAGCTGTATTAGCTTTGTTTAGTGTGTAATTGTTGTGATCAAAGAATTTCTCTTGTTATTTTTTTCTCTAGTTTTAACTATTTGAACTAAATTGTATCATTATAACATCTGACAATGATTAATTTATGATTATTCATATAAATTGTTTTCATCATTTCCAGTTTGTTAGATAGACCATTTACATGTACAAGTACAATTAAGTATGTTGTAGACAGTCTTTCAGTTAAGAATATTGAGAAATTTTAAATGTATAAGGAAGCTCAAAACTGGTTCACAAGCGAGAACAGTTGAGCATACACTTAAGGAGAAGGAGTAAGCTTAATCTCTTCTGAAATTTTCTTGCGAAAGTCTTCAGAGAAAGTTCCCTCAGGCAGGCTTTGAAGTAGTATCTGCTGTAATTGTACTGTGTCTGGTCCTACAATCAATTCTGGGTCTTTGTTCTTTTTGGCTGTGTTCTGTATTAGAAATCCTCTGAAGCCAAGTCGGGATTGCATTTTTCTGATAGGGTATATAAAGCCTTGATCTCTTGCAGAGTCAAGCAACTGTTTGATTCTGTCATGGTTTGGGTCTGTTGGAAGTACCTCCCACTGTGGATCAGGACGACCAGAAAAAACTAACAAGGTGATTTTCAAGTTTCCTACAACAAATGCAAAAGAAGTATGCATATGACATACTAATATTGTATTACAATCAATTCAGCCAAGAAAGGTCTTAACCCTTTACACTCTAACATCAGAATGCATATTCTCTATACTGTTCTCTATTAAATTTCCTGAGGTGATGATAAGGAGAATTTGTTTAACAATCAAGAGTTTCTGTAGTAGGTGATCATTTCCTTTATCCCTTGTGACCATAATGTGTGATTCAGGGCTGATATAGTAAAGAGAAATTAGATGCTACTCACTCTTTGGGGTCAAAGAGTAAAAAAAATGTTACAAAATGTTGGAAATTGTTTATATTAATTTGAGGCTTGAAACAAGACAGCATTTTTTAGTATTTCAAAAGTAGTGCAGTGAGAAGCTTTGTCACATGATTCTGAACAGATTTTAGCCTCAAAGAGAATGTGTGACAGATATTAGTATATTCCTGGTGAATAGTGCTTTTTGGTCATGCTGATTGGCTAGTTTGGAAGTGAATTGCTGGTACTATTCACCTCTGAGCAGCTGATGAGACAAAATCGTGCCTCAAGAGTGTAATTTCTAACCATTTTTTGGTATAATGAATGAAATAATCTTATATTTTTGTATTTGTGTGGTATACACTAAAACAATTATTCATCTCAGTGTTGTTGAAAGTGGTGGATTTTTACCTTTACTCCAGTGAAAAATTGTTAATTAACATTTCAAAAGGAAGACAATCTCCAAAAATGAGTGAAATCAACCAAAAAAAGACCTATTTGTTAAGGTCATTCTTTAATTACCAGACTCCTTGCATGTTGCTGTTGGTGAGTCACTTGATGTTGCTTCTTGTTGATCTACACCTGCACTCAAATCTTCTTTCCTAATCTTCTCTGAGAGATCCTCTCTTATCTTACCAGGGAGCAATTCACTTGGCATACTTTTAAGTAACAACTGTTGAAGCATTGCTGTGTGTGGACCAAAAATATATTCCAGATCTTTGATCCCTTTGGTTGTGTCCTGTATTGTGAATCCTTTGAAGCCAAGTCGTGCTGGCATGTCCTTAAAGGGATTCAGAACAAACCCTCCAGCTCTTGCAGTGTTAAGAAGCTCTTCAATTTTGTTGTAGTTGGGATCTGAAGGAACAACTTGCCACTCTGGATCAGGAAGACCAGAATATATTTTTATGGAAACTTTCAAGTTCCCTGCAATAAAAGAGGACTTATGAATTTCAAATAGTTCTGGTCCCTGTGAAAATTGTTCCATGCAAATCTTTACAGATAAAACTCATACTTTTATGATACTTCAATTTAAGGGTCCTCTATGAGAGGATTTGTCTTCATTAATGAACCACACAATTCAGTAAAGAGAGTGTTTATGGTTGAGCAGAACATGGTTTTTATTAATTCACTAATAAATCGTAATTAGCATTATATAATTATTTATATATATATATATCATTCACTTTACCCTTTGTAGTTGTCATGGTGGTATCTGCACTCAGAGTTGTTGCTGTATAGAAAAGAAAGGCCAACTATAAGTTTTCATCAACTGAAGATGATAATGAACATCATTAGAGTTTTTAAAAACATGAACACAAATGTAACTATTTATGATTACAAACTTTGTCAAGCATGGCTGATTCAAAGGGGGAAGAAAATCTCCTTTACTCCCATCTTATGCCTTCCCCTGCGAAACATTGCAGTTTTTCTTTCAGTTTCCACCCTTTCTTTCCTGTTTCTTATCGAAATCTAACCGCTATTGTCCGAGGTTCTCATTCCAATTTCTACCTCCACCTGATAGTTGACTAATACCTGTTACCTAATACCCGCTTTAAAAATGCTCTCAGTCGTCACAGGTAAAACAAGCTAGACCGCTGTAAATCGGCTAAGAAACTCTCAAGATTCAAAAGACAAAACAAGAAGTGGGCTACGATTATTTTAATTCAAACTTCTGCAGATTTATGGGTTAGTCCTCATTCCTACACAAATCCCTATATGCTGCCTTTAGTGTGACAAAAACGTGCATTGTTCGATCTTGGGTTACCTGTGTTCGCGCTGTGTTTTGCCTTTAAACAATAGAATTATATTACCTATGATTTTAAATTATCATTTATTCCATACATTTTTTTTTCCTTGGGAAAAAAAATAAATAACAAGCCAAAAGTCAAGTGACCCAAATGAGTACTACTAACGTTTATTATAATTCATGACTAGTCTCAGACTTAAAAATAACCAATGAAAGAGGTGCAAAGCTTTGATATGAGGGGGTGGTCGGAAGTGAAATTATTCTGCTCTCGCTGCATGCTGTGCCTTTTATGCTCTGAGGTATTCAAATATTTTAATGTTACAATCTGGCGCGGTTTTTAGAAGACATATACTGATAAAAAGATTGATCTTAGCAATTTGGACTCCACAATCGAACGATCGATCATGGGAAACCCGTAAACAATTTTTTTTAATAACAAGTCTTCTGACGTTGTTTCCCCAGAAATTGTATTAAATCAAGTGATTATGTCGCAGTTTAGGATAAGGTTCGTAACACCGACTAGATTGATTGTTTTGACAAATTGCACCGGTCTTAATATAGGTGTAGAGGGGGCACTCGTGTGAACGGTCACAGAAACCCTGTGTTCTAATTTGAAAACCTTAAATTCAAATCTAAGACAATTGTGTCGATTTGACTCATACGTACGTGCGTTTTCTAACAGCTTATCCTGACGGTTTAGGAAATGATATGTTCCACATAATCTCCTGGCAATAATTGTTATGTACGTACTCTACCTCTCTATGACCCTTAATGTTCTACGCATGGTTACCGCTCTCATCTACAAAATTGTATGCATAATGAAGCAATGTGAGGATCCCACCGTCAAGTGGTTACCGCTGAGTTTTTTTTTTTCCTTTTAATCTGGCCTGTGAAAACCCTGTAAAGAAGTAAGTTATTTCATCCTACCTTCAGTCGAAGCGTTGACAAGGAAAGTGAAATAAAGACACAGCAAAATTTGAAACAAACGCTTCGCTTTCGAAAACATCATGATGAAAAGACCGCGGTTGTACCAATTGAGGTTGCGTGCTGGAATGGGGGACAATTTCCGTGACAGATAAATTTGAGCAAGATTTCATAGGTTCCAGTCTTCCCCGCCACGCCCATTCTGTCACGCGAGGGACAGTCCCTCGGTGTGTTTTTTTACCCACCAAGCTTGAAGAAGCGTCTACTGGTTAGATATCAGAGAGAAGAGAGGGATCTCTCCATGTGCTGGAACTAAGAGACATACAGAAGAGGAATGGCCATATATCTTGGTCACAGATGAGTGCATCCAGTCATTTTCAGGGTTGATGTTGAGAGCCATTTCCAGTGTTCCAAGGAATGTTTTCAGAACCATGTAAGAAAGGAGAAACTAATTTTTATGGGTTGAGGAGGCTGAGCAAAGGGGTGATGCAGTAATGTGGTTTACACTAGACACCTGCTTTTCTATAGGGAAGAACTTTGACAACTAGATTCCATCACTCTGATCCAATCAAAAACTAATATTTTTCAGGAAGTGGGTCATGCAAATAACTTGTTCATTTATTTTGAATGTCATCAAAATAAATAAATGTGTACATGACTGGTAAACTAAACACCTGTAAACCTTTTACACTCTAACATAAGAATGCATATTCTCCATACTGTTCTCTAAGCATAATACCTGAGATGCTGACAGGGAGAATTTGGCCAACAATCTAGTAACTCTTTAGTATGTGATCAGAATACCAATTCATTTCTCGTATTCCTAATGTGAGACATGGTAGCTTAAAGGTTATAAAGTGTGCTGAATGTGGAAACAAAAGGTCTGGAATGGAACCATGACCAGATAAGGTGATGTGTTCTTGGGTGAGACAGGTTAATCTCATAACACCCCTCTCCATCCAGTGTTAATGACAGGCAAACCAACAATGAAATCTGACAAAGTACTGTGGGTAACCTGCAGTGGGCTGGCATCCCATTCATATGAAGCATCAAATGAGGTGGGGGGGGGGGGAGGGGTGGTGTTTGACTTCGCCTGTATGCAGACTTAACAAGTGCACTTTGTAGACTAGTTAAATAACTAACAGACCAGTTAATTAACTTCTGACATTTATTGAAGTACAGCACTCCCACGCCTCACTCTAAGAGCTTTCTGTGGCATGGAACACCAAAATCAATTTTTTTCACTTATTTTTTTTTGACTTGTGCCACAGTCTTCGTTGAAAATGAGGGACTGAGCATAGTCTTAAACAATATTTGGCTAAGCACAGTAAGCTCTAGAAATTTATCAAGTGTGTGTTTTCATAAAATGGGAAAAAGAGAGTATATCTTTAAGCTATTTTTTTGGTGACTTTGCAATTTCTTTCAGTTTTGACAACTGATTCTTGAAAGCCAAGTTAAGATTACTTTTGTCTTCTTGAGACCTATGACAGAACTATACACATGCACCTATTACATAAATAACAACTTGTGATTTTCACCAACTGTACAAACACCTAAATCTACTCCAAGAAAACAATAATAACAGATTGATTGCCTGACTTAGCATAGATTTATCAGAAAGACATGGAAAGGTTTCTCACTATGCTCTTTTGAATGTTTTCTAGGGCAAAAACCATTATATCCCAGGCAAAATATTTGTATTTACATCATTGTTATGATTGTTTTGTCCATGACATTCAAATCAAAACAAAGAGGAGTATTATGCAAGTTATAACCACAGTGAATGGAAGCCATGTCTTCAGGAATGCACCCACACTGCAAACAATGATTAAAAAAAAAAAGCTGTTACTCTGTTGTTGGTGATATCAATAAAAAAAGACAAAGATAAAAATGTTGTGCCTGTAAACGTAAGATTCATGAAAAAACATGTCAGTTGGACCAAGAAAACTTGTGTTGATAAGTGACAAGGACCTGTATCTCATGCATGATGCCATCAATCTAGCATCTTTGTTATGATACAACTTTCACAGTTTATGTTTTGAACCAATAGTAACAGTTGAATAAAGGGGGTAAGTTTCTAAAGAAACTGTGGTGCTGCATTGGTGGGAGAGTATAGCAGGTTAGTTAGTGTTAACAACTGGGTTGAAAACATAAATTGGCCACCGTAAAGAATAAAAGAGCTGAAATTTTGAGTGTTAGCCCTTTGTACAAAGGGCTAATGCTCAAAATGTCAGCTTTTCCACTCTTTATGGTGGCCAATTTACGTTTTCAACCCAGTTGTTAACATTAAATTACCTGCAATAGTAACAGTTGTCTGGGAAGTGTACCTGGGTCAATTTTGGCCTGGTGTATGCTGCTAGCCTATCAGAACCCCTGCCCCATTCTAGTCTAGCCTATTACTCCTTCTCCCCCCCCCCCCTCCAACTCCCCTCTTGGAAAAGTTGATCATGTAGGTAAGATTATCTAGGAGAGGGTCCTGAAAAGGAGTAGCAGAGTGGCAGTAGTTGATGACAATGAACCACCTTTCAACAACCTCAGAAGTCACTGTTACCTAACTGTCACCAAAAACAGTTCTCTTCAGGGCAATTCTCAACCTGAGGATCACACTACATGATGAATTAACCCTTTCACCCTAACATCACTATGAATATTCTCCAAACTGCTCTCTATACATTTCCTTAGGTACACATCAGGAGAATTTATCTAACAATCAAGAGTTTCTTGAAACCGTGATCATTTCCTCTATTCTCTCAGCCCTAAAGTTTGATTCAGGGGTGATACTTTTAGGAGAAATAAGATGCTTATCATCCTTAGGGGTTAAATGGTTAAATGGCATCTGCTGTCATCATGTCTAATAATAGGTAAGGGAATTGAATACAAAAATGCCTCCAAACATACCTGACAAATTTCCCAAAAATAAACATGTTGAATGCCAGTTTAACCATGTTCCAGGAAGATGACCTTTCATACTGCATCATATTCAGTGACATGGCAACATGTGAGTGGCAGTTGTCACAAAAAAGGTTATGCTGAAAAAAGGAAATAAAAAATTTTTAAAAAATTGGCAATTGTCATGATTACAATATAACATAATTTTCACTATGCTAAATGATCAGTTAACTCACCATTCTGTGTTTGTACTCCTCTGATGCAGATGAAATGGCCACATCCCAGCTGTTTTGTACACTGGAAGCTTTCGCTGGATTTAGACGTAAGTATCTGTAAGTAAATTGTATTTGGTTTTAATTAATTTAAAGATATAATTGTATCCTAGATAATTTTTTAGGTCTTTCAATTATCAATTCTTCTGCCTTGACATTCTCAGTTCAGATTTAATGGACAACATGGAAAATTATCAAAATATCATGCTTGTTCTTTGATATTTGGTGGAACTAGGTCATGAAACACATCTGAAATTAAAAATAAGATACACATATACAATCAGCTGTACAAAATTACTTACTTTGTTGGTCTTCCAAAGGCCATATCATCTTCCTTTCAAGAAAAATAACAGTGTAAGACATGGTAAGGGATTCCTGTTTTTTGGTTGTTTTATTTCAATATCTTTACATTGCTATCTGTAACTTAAAGTTTGTAAATGGTGCATACTTTGATATGGTCATTACTGCAACGTGTGCTCTAGGCTTAAAGCACAAATGACAAAAGTATCACTTACTGAAACATAGTATGGACCAGCAAAGTCTCTTATTACACCTGAAGACATGGCAATCCCCATATGGCCAATGAAAGGGAAAAGCCACCTTACAATATATGAATAAAAAAAATTAATTAGTAAAGGAGTTTTTAGAAAGACTGATAGAAAGTGTAAAAACTAGCCTGCTGTTCATTAATACCCATTTGTGCTATGTGTTTTTTTTTTCTTAAACAACTGGTTCTAACTCTTCTAAAAAAGGTTCCGTTGAACTTTACCAGTCATACAACATCATCTTTCCTCTTTGTCTTTTCCTTTTTATCGTCTGAAGGAGCAGGTTGCAAGAAAACCACGATCTTTTTCTAAGTAGGAGGGTGGTGTCGGCACTTTCATCTTTTTTCCTTAAGGAGACTTAAATTAGTTAACTAAACCAAGGGGTGTACGGAATTTTTTAAACTGTCGATCCTCATAGTCGAGTCATATATGGATTTCTTCTGATTAAGATTAAAAAATAATTTAAAAAAGGTTTCCACTCACTTTATCATTTGTTGTGCTACTATGTTAAGAAGAAAGCAAATATTTCCATGTTTATCTTTCGTACATAATTTAACCCAACTAATTGCCCTGGATAGTTAATTTCCAAAATTCTCTCTAACTTAATCAGAACCACATCACAGGAACGAAATCAACAGTAAACATGCACACTTTAAAATAAATATATATACTCACGTAAGCACCGGGATTGGTGTCCAGACAATACAGTAAGGATATCTGCTCCGGGCTGCGTCGATTTTTTTATAGTTATCCTCGGCATCCATGATATTTTCTTCTGGATTATCTGCCATCATATAGCGACATTATGAAGAACTCTGTGATTGAAGGCCGCCATGGAACGTATGATATGGGACATTTCATTGCTTTTATCACAACACAACTGTTGCTGATGAGTAGATCTGCTGAAGGCGTAACACTGGCTCCTTGGAAACCAGACGCCATGGACGCCATGTTTGCTTGACTGGTGTTTTGATCTGTCTTGATTTGAAATTTATCGTTCGCTTTAACGATGAACAAGGACGCATATTTGTTGAATGATGTGAATTCTGGACACTTCACAGAATTTAATTTTCGGCTATTAGCTAGACGGTGAGCAGTTTCAGGTGAGTCAAACGAAAATTAATATCCTTCGAAATTGCATGTTTTGATGTTTTTCGTTCACTCATATTCAGATATTCTTGCAAAACTTGACTGTTTTTTTTTTGTTTTTATGAGCAAAGTTATGTGCCCTCGACTTGATAAAAATAAATAATTTATATCTCCTCGTTCCCTGAGTGTTAAACCGATACAAATCTTTTTTTGAATTACTATACGTTCTTGCAGAAATCAAACATGGTTTAGTTCAAATAGAAACTTTCTTCTCTGCACTGTGATGGAACGATTCATTCCCGAGCACCCCCTCCCTACAGAAATCCGGGAGATGCCAAAAGATGACACAGTTTGTCAGTTCTGTGGTGTCAGCTACCTTATTCACAGCGAAATGAAAGCATTGGAGGAACGTGTGAAGGAAGCAGAGAGGAAAATGCAGTACTACGTCGAAAGTGTAGAGCGAGAAGAAAAACTCAAAGTTAAAGTGGCCAGTATGGAAGAAGAAAGTGATAAGCTTTCAAGGGCATTGCAAGCAAGTGATGAAAGGTGAGAAGATATAAAGTAATGTCTTGTTACCAAATAGATTTCTTGTTGCAGTGCATCTGTTCAGTAATAAATCACAGATCATGAATCAAAATGTGGTGAGAATGAGACACTGATGTCCATACCACATTTTGATGTCTTCTGTGATCTATCACTGAACAGAACCACAATAACATGGAATCTATTTGTTTTGCAGGAGTAGCTAAATGTAATTAATGGTGATGTCATCTGTGTCTGTCTTCCAATAGATCATAACCAAGGACCAATCACAATATGCATATAATTCAGCTTATTATATAAATAAGTTACATGGTACTTTTTATGGTCTATCAAACTAATATGTACTCAATGTTAACCCTTTAACTCCCAGAAGTGATGAACATGTAATTTCTTCCTATAATTTCCTTACATTGTTTAGCAAACAGGTACTGAGAACACTCAAACTTATCAGGTATAAATTGTTATCTTGATTTAACGCCAAATTCTCATAACTAATTTACAAGGAAATGTCTAGTAGCAAGAGGAGAAAATCACCAGTCAGATCATGGGAGTTAAAGGGTTGATTAATGCATTGTTGATCTATTTCATTATTCCCTTTTTCTTGGTTCACTTACCAATTAGTCAGAGCTACAACTCAATTTATTCAATAAATAACTTCAGTAGCTTGTAAGAAATTTCAAATTATTCAAACTGCACAAACCCCTTTGAGCATAACTTATCAGAATTAACTGCCTACAGGGAGCTTTAAATAGCCTTAACTGTGTACTTCAGGAGAAACAAAACTCATGTCTTAATATTACTGACCTTTACTAAAATATGAGAAGAATTTCATTATTTGATAATAACATATTATAATCTTGTTGGTAGGACCAAGATTTTGGTGCAAGAGTTAACTTCAAAGCAAAGCCAGATTGAAAACTGTAAACAACAGAAAGACGATCTTGAAAAGGAACTTCAGAGAAAGAACGAAGAAGTCAAGAGAACTCAGTTGAAGTTGAATGATCTTGTGAGGCAAATCTCATCCTTTCATGAAACCTTACAAACACAAAGGACAGCACTAAATGACATTAAAGTTAGTGTTAGAGAAAATTGTCATGACATCACAGAGAGTTACAGTAAAGTTGTGAATACTGTTGCTCTTTCATGTGAGAAGTTTGCAAAGGATACAAAAGTCCTTGAGGAGAGTTTATCTAAGGTAGGATGGTACTTTGTGAAATGCATACAGTGTCACTCTTTTCCAGTACTTAGTTGACCCTTTCACTCTCAAGATCTCTACAGTAGTTCTCCTTGCTGTATGCCATGTGATTCTTATGATGATAGCTCAGAGAGTTTGGTATTGGATCAACTAATAATCCCCTAATTGATATTTTTCCTTATTCTCATCACTTGTCTACTTGTTATAGTATTGATATTGTAAGGGGAAATTCTGTTTTGGTCACTCTTGGGAGTTAAAGGGTTAATGTAAGCGGCAAGTATCTTCATTGAACAAATCGAGAACCTGAGGCATTATCATTCTTAGAGAACACCAAGTTGTGTGCCATTCATACTAACGTTCTCTTACACAGTGTGTGTGGGTGGGTTTCTGAACTAATCTCTAGTTGTTCATGTCTATAATTCTTTGTCTTACTGATGTACATTTGAGTTTTTTGTAATCACTAAATGACACCATACAAACTTTTCCATTAGTGCGAAAATGAAAAAAAGATGCAACATGAGGCTATTGGCAAAGCTGAAGCACTGGTCATGGAACTTACTTCAAAATGCACTGAGTTAGAAGGTAAAGCTGATGCCCAAGGGAAAGAGTTGATCAAAACAAAGGAACAGAATCACATCTATAGCAAAGAATTATCACAGTACAAGGAACTGATGAAGTAAGTAGTGCAGTAGACTTAAATGGGAGACATCTCAGGCTGAACTCTGGCTGGTGTCACTGTGCAATACTGTCAAACTCTGACACTATTTTAATATTTCAACCTATCTGTCAAACCTGATTAGTTCCAGTGATAGGAAGGGAACATGAAGGGAAGGGTGAAGATGGTATTTGTGTACACAATTTTCCTGGACTACAACAGAATATGTTCCTAGTTTCCACCATGGAGGCACATTGTATTGAGAAGTGTACATGTCTGTACTAGCAGAACTCTCCCTTGATTTAACACCTTCCTTTACCTCACCACCCTTGGTATCAGTGTCCCAATTCTTTCCACTTTAATAAGAGTTGACTGTGCTCTGGTCAGGTGGTTATGTGGTTGTAATCATATTGTAATATTTTATTTGCTTTTATTTATATCCTACAAAAGAAAAAAATACTTATTAATATTGGTTAAATTTGTAACCAAAAATGCAGATACACACCAATTGTGTAATCTTTTGTAGTGATGACTTTAAGTTAAAATGATGAGTTTCAGTCTTAGCTTGAATAAGTGGTGGTGTAACTTCCAATAGATGTTAAATCCAGTATAATGTTTCCTTTCAGTTCTAAAGTTAATGAAGTGAATGAATGGAAAAACAAATTTCAAAGTGAATCAGGAAGTTTAAAAGAAGAAATCAAGAAAAACCAAGGAGACCTTTTATCAAAAGAGAAGCAGATTCAGCAGCTAGTGGAAAATTGTAAAAATTTAGAGAAGCGTGTTGCAGAATATTCAAAGGCAAGGAATGACGTAGAGGAGAAAAGTGCAAATTCCCTGGAGGAAATCAAGGTAGGGTTGTTTAATTTGTTCTTCTTGCTTCTTCCATTTTTGTTTCAGTTTCTTCAATCTTATAGTTGCTTCTTTGTGAGTAAATTTGAAGAGTTAAGTTAGAATGCAATCTAGTGGTCAAATGTCAGTTGACACTGTTGATTAATTACTCAATTCTCAACACTATCTCAAAAAATTAATTAAAAGAAGAAAATTGATTTTGGAATCTGTTGACCAATGACTTCCATGTTACTGCTTCTGCATTTGAAAACTTAACACTTTGTTTCACATATACAGGACTATTAATTTACTGACAGTGAAAATGTTATTATGTTATTAGTAAAAATTATAGTAGTAATAAAACTATCTATATCATTCTCCATCATTTTCCTTGTCTTCATAATCTACAACTTTGAAGACTTTTACAAATTGCTGTACAGTGTTATTGTACCTACATACAATAAAAAAAGACAATTTTTTATCTTTTTGATAAAATATTTTGGTTACCTAGTACATGTAACTAATTGTTTATATTCTGTTTTAATTTTGTGTAAAGGCTTTGAAGGAATCCTGCTTCAAAGCAAAAAATGAGGTCACAGCTCTAAAAGAAGAAAGGTGTGCCTAACATATTTTGTATATTCCATAGTTAATGTGGTAGTGTTAAACTAAGCTTTGTAGTTAAGTGTCAAACAGTCCATTTGAGTCAAGATTTTATAAGCAAGGGTTGTATTCCATTTTACATAGACATCCACATATTTTACCTGAAGTTGCCTGTACCTCAAACAAAAATTGCAATGGAGCTTCATTATTTTTACTACCAGTTAGATTATTTATAAAGGAACTCTTACAGGGCTTTAAATTTTTTCCTAATTTATCTTTAATTTTTTCCTCATAATCCACCTATTCTTTACCTACTAATTACACAGACCTAGCTTTGCATAAATAGCTTTCAATAGTAACACTACTTACTTGGCACACAGCTTAAAACAAGTACAATAATTATCTTATTTACCATCTTTACCAAAAAAAACTAACCTAACTTACAGGGACATGTACATGTGTTTTTCTATTACTATTATTATTATCATCATCTTATTCATCATTGATATCTAGTTATAATTATTCCTATCATTTTTTCCCCCTAAATGCATGTGGATGGTTAACAGAGAGATGATGATATCTGCCCATCACAACCGTATAGAGCAACTGAGAGAAAGCTTTAAGAAAAAAATGGAAGAGGCAGATGCTTGGCCAGAAAAGGTACAAATCTATCCTAATTGTATGCAGATTTAACTTCAGAGCAAAACCAGATTGAAAACTAAAAACAATAGAAAGGTAGTCTTGAAAAGGAACTTTAGAGAAAGAATACAAAATAATTTTCAAAGAATCTTAACCAAAATAAGCCATTATAACCCTCTTAATAACCTTTTCTCGTCATTTCAGCTCAACAAAATTGTGAAGGAAAAAGAAGAACAGTTCAATGAGGAGAAAAACAACCTGTGGAGGGATTTAACGGAAGGATTTCAGAAGGTACACTGCATTGCTTCTTTGGCTTGTCAATGCATACAGAGTATGTTAATAATTCTGGTGTAACAAGGGCATTTAAATGCATACGGTTCTGAGGCCACCTCCTAAGAACTGACTCCTTTTTTTTTTTCGCCTGATGTGTTGCAATAATGACATATTTTCTTTGCTCTGGGTGCTCCGTTTGTGCACTTTTCGCGCGTTAGAGCTCCGCAAGAACGAAAAAATGATGTCACAGAAATATTTCTTAAGTTTTCCTTATCAGAAAAAAGCAATGATTTTCTCGTTTATGAAATATGCTTTATGTTTTGTTTGTTTGTTTTGCCGAAACTTGACGGTGCTGTTTCTTTCCACTGTGTAGTATCTTCAGAGGATATGACTTCATGTTTCTTGCAACATGCACACTACGGGAGCTGTTCTTTATAACAAAAAGTTGTGCTCGTGCTTAGAGCCACTTTTACTGCACATATGTGTCAGTGCAAGTTATTGTACACGACGTTTTTTTTCTTGTGAAAATGTCACGTATTCATTATTCCTCTCAGTAAATTTTGTTTTGTTTGATTTTTTTTTGTTTTTTTTTTTGTTTTGTCTTATTCCTTTTTTTTGATAGGAAATGGACGAAGAACAGCAGAAACACCAAGAAGAGCTCGGCTTGTGGAAGAAGGAGGCCAAGGCTGCACAAGACAGAGTACGTAGGATACTGCTCCAGTTATTTGATATCTGTTTAAAATTATGTCCTCTCCCATGCAAGTAGTTATGAAACGAAAAGAAAAGAAAATTGGCGAATAAACACATAGTTTTGCCGAAACTGCACGGTGAGTAACTTAAACAGAAACGATACTAAACTTTAATTGTTATGTGACGATTGTTTGGATAGACTATGTGGATTTCCTTTACCCTTGCACGAGAAGCGAACGGCCAAGAATGAGTCGCTTTGCTATCTCAATGATTAAATCTGGTCACTTCGCTCAAACACTTCTTTTGCACTTCCCTGTATGTAGTTTAAAGAGGACATAACCACCATGAACCGAAGACACCGTGAGGATATCAAACGTCTGGAACGGGAATTGACTGAAGTTAAAGTGGGTGAACTCTTGATTCTCATGAGCGCTTTTCGATTGAGTATCGTGACACCTAAATCAAAGTAGCTATGGCCAATCAGCATAAAATTTGATAATCTCGAGGAGGCAATAAGAACTCAGAACAAAAACACGAAAACGACCTTAAACGCGGGGAAACGCGAGTGACCTAGGCGCGATTGGTTCAGTTTTTGGATCTGATTGGTTGGAGAGGGTTGCGCTAATCACAGAGACTAATCACGCATCATGGTAATACGAAGCCAAAGCAATCTCGATTTCTGTGTAGACTCAGTTCAAATAATTCGTGACCTCTTTTCAGCTCGTTGTCATTGCACAGAGTGGGCTAGCTAAGGCTAAGGTGAAGCCTATCTCTTCAGGTCATGAACCTCTTTTATGTAGTCAAATCATACCGGCATAATTACAAATAAAGGTAGTTTGGAAAGAAATTCTGCAATCTCTGATTATGGAAGTTCCCTTTCCCAAAATGTTGTATTTTCCGTAATCTTTCCAAGTAGTTCTTTGTCCTGAGGTTTTGTAAGTTTTTGTACTCTGTTAGGTTATCTTGAGACGACTTACATTTACGAAGGTTACTCTTTTTCTAGGAGAAAAGTGAACAAACAAAAAATGCCGATGACTCGCTCGTACAAAATCTGGAAGCGAAAATCGTAGATTTGGAGAATCGCTTGCGTCAGCCGTTGGCAGACTCCGAAGAAGTTCTGAGATTAAGAACCAGGCTTCAGGAGTCGGATAAGATGCTCAAAAGTGCCGAGCAGCAGATAAACGAACTGGAAACGAGAAGTGAATCTTGGAGACAAGAGGTACCAGGTTCTTTATTCCTGAATGTCGTGTCAAACATGGTCCCTTCTGATTTGTCCGTTTGGCTCTCTGTTTCTGACTGTCTGACTGTTAATAAAAATAAAAATTAAAAAATTGCATGAGCTTCCTCTAAACTGTCTGCTTTCTCTTTCTAAGTCTGCGATATGTGTCCCACGATCATTATTTTCTATTCGTTTCTGAACATTTTTTGCCTGCCTGTCTGCTTTTCATCTACCGGTCTGGTTACCGCTTACGCCAAGGTTTGATGTCCTTGACAAATTTAGTTCAACTGGAAGACGAAAGGAAATAAGATTAGGTCGAAAAGGATAGAGATTCTATTTGTCTGTCTACCTATGCGTTTGTCTGCCTGTCCTTCCGTCTGTACCTCTTTGTTTTTACCTTTTTGTTGAACTTCTCCTTTCCTATCTTTTACTCGTTTATTCTTCTGTGTAGTAAATAAGTTTTCATCTTCGAAGCGGAAGGGTTAAATCTTCCGGTTAAGTAGTGTACTTCAAATTTGAGATAGGGAAAAATGTTTTTTGTTAAAACTAACGTACTTCTTACTATCATAGGTGGTCTTTTTACAAGAAACTGTTCGACGCGAGTGCGAGGAACGCTTTGAGCTGACCGATGCTCTTGGTGAAGCACGAGCTCAGTTGTTAGCTCTTCAACGCACTTCCGGTGCCTCGCTGTCACGAAGTAGTCTCAATTCATCTAGTTCTTCCAGCAGCGTCATCCGGGGTAGTCGCAAAGGATATGACGTCAATGGACAAAGTGACAGTTCTACTACCCAGGCTATATCTTGCCCCGTTGGATTTGATGGAGGCGTAGGGTGTAGGCCTGGCACAGGTTCACTTGACACGAGAAAGTTGTCGCGTGAAGGAAGTGTAGACGATAGTCGAAAGCGAATCGCCGCGGCCGTTCGGCAATCGGGGACAAAGAGCCGTTTGGGGGGAAATTTTAGCAGTTGAAAAATTCCAAATACTTTGAAAAAAGGGAGAACTTGTAGATCTGAGTTGATGGCAAATGGGTAACGACGAGGAGACCAGGGAAATCTGGATGGAGATCGGGGAAACGCTTGCCAGCTGTCACAACGGCTGAGAAACTTTTTTCGAGCGAAGAGAAGAGCAAGATTTTAACAAGTATAGATTTGATTACTGTAGCGAGCGTGGTACGCACCCAAGACGCATCATACGTGTAGTACGTCTTATTTATGTATATTTGTATGAAGCTCCATTTAAGTGGCCCTCGTGTATGACGCACTAAGCTTTAACTTTTAAATCTTAACGCATTCAGCTACACACAAGCCGATTTCGTATCTGCTAGGTGAATATGGGCGTTGATACAGAGTCATTGACCTAAACCTAGAATTCATGGTTTAGGATTTTTTGCTCTGTTTTGATACTCAGCTTTGTGATTGAGTTACTCTATGCCCTCTTTTCTTCTAGACGAGGAAAGAAAAACTGAAAGGCAAAGAGTGTGAATACAACTGGTTTAATCCTCGACTGATAATATAATGACTATGTCTGTTGAACATAATTAGTGCGTCGTTGGGCCTGGGGTGTCTAAGTCCTTAGATTGACAGCCCGTGTTCCTGCCTATGAATTACGAAGCAAAATGCATAAACTCACGTTTCTACACTAAATTCTGTGGGGATACACAGAATTTTATTTTTGTAATATCCTATTAGGGCAGGAACTCCTCCTTGTGCCTTTGGTTATCTTCTTCACTGCGTGATGTCATTTCCAGCGGGCTCGATGTTTTCTTTTTTGTCATCTTGACAAACCAGTGTTTTATTACAAATCGAAATAAAACAAGCAGCTGAATTAACTTTATTCTCAATATCTCTGACCATTTACGGAAGGAAGAGAGAATTTTTACTCGTCGAAGTATTTAAGGCACAAGAGATGTCTACTGTGACGACTTTTAAATCAACAACGTTTTTCATTGAATTATAATAAGTGGAACCTCAGTGCCTTATCGATATTTTCAAAAAAATAGTTTTAACATGGATTTCATTGCCCGTCAGAATTGCACGCAATATCTCAAAAAGTTAGAAAAACTGAAACATTTTAGACAACTTAACTGGGTTCACCCTAAGTTTCGTCAAATTTCAAGAAAATTCGACCGAATATTGGCTAAGAAATCAACTCTGAAGTCCAGAATACTAGCGAAAACAGAAGACGACAAAACTCGACCTATCAATTTTTAAATCAACAACGTTTTTCATTGAAATTTAATGGGAGGTGGAAACTCGGTGCCTAATCGATATCTTTTAAAAAATAATTTAAAATCGATTTCATTACCCGTCAGAATAGCACGCAATATCTCAAAAAGTTAGAAAAACTAAAACATTTGAGACAACTTAACTGGGTTCACCCCAAGTTTCGTCAAATTTCAAGAAAACTCGACCGAATATTGGCTGAGAATTAACTCTGAAGATCAAAACTAGAGGAAACAGGTGACGACAATACTCGATCTAGCAATTTTCGTAAAATGTTTTCGGAATCTCCGGCGTCAGAACTCAAACCTAAACTTCAGAGCATAACTGATTGAAGGGCAGA